TGTTACATGGATTAAGTCTGCTTCGTATACAATCTGAATGATTAGGTTTATGGTCACAGAGACTCAGATAAGTTGCTTCCTCTGTGGTAGAATACTTAAGAGACTTTCAAGCTCTTTTGGAATAGAATTCGATAATCTGAGGTGAAAAATAAGAAGTGCATTCATTTCCTGATCTTGAAGAAGACACTGAAGGCTCTTGATCTTAGCATCCTATTTCTATATGAGATAACTAAAAGAAAGCTTTTTATATTCCTGAAATTTGAGGTTTTGCTACAAAAGAATGAATTTGACCATCATTTATGAACTTTACCCTTTTATCCTTTGTCCCTTGAACCTTTGTTAGACATTTGGGAGTTCCTGTGTACTTCAACTCACATGACTACAGGATGGAGTGGGCCTACTCAGTGATCTAAGGGTGGGGTTAAGAGCTACCATTAAGAGAAAGGGGAAGTATCTGGTTCACTGCCCCACTGTCATAGCCTCAATGTCTTGCACAGTACTTTGTATGCTATTCTCAATCAAATCTGCATGGTTTCTCACTTTGCTGGACACCAGGACGCCAGCTACCATAGATTCCATAGTTGATTGAAGGTCAAAGTTCTGCAGTTGACCTTTTCAATGAAAGTGGAAGTCTGTTTAGTTGCTAATAATAATGACTATTGTTAATTTGTTACTCCTCCTTCCTCCAAGCTGGAACATTGTCTAAGTTTGGGGGCATTCCTTTGTTTATTTTCCATTTTGCCCTAAGGCAAACTACCTATGAAGGTAGTTTGAGGATGCAGGAGCATTGAATATAAGACAACTCTTTTTCTTTATAAGGAATTCTTTAAGCTGGTACCAGAGTTCCAATGAAACAAAAGTGCTCTTTGAAGAAGATGGCTAGGAATGACTGCAATGTTTATTTTTATTAGAAGAACAAATGGAGTAGATTGTACTGGCTGATGTACTGGGAATGGGATTCCTGGAGGCTAATGGAGCACTGCTGGAGCTTTAGTGGGTGGTCTCAAGGCCCACTCCTACCCCACCCCCACTCCTGCTTTAGTCATAGCATTTACCCCTGAACTGGTTTACGTTTGGGAATCCTATGTAATATTTTTTTGAGGAAAAAAAAATGGCTGTAAATAAAGGTTGAAACTACTGTTAAAGAGAAAAGACCATGAATTTTGCTCTTGAAGAGAGTTCTCCAATTTCCAGTTTTCTAATACTCATGTGACTTGAGCATTTTTTTACTCATTAAAAGGCTTTGTTTACTCATTTGTAAAATGAGGTAGTCTCTATTACATCAGGTTGGTGTGAGAACTGGGTATAGACTCTACAGCCTATGTAAGCCATCCTTTTCATTTTCCAAATTTATGCCTGACACAACTCATTTTTCTTGAGAATGGAAGTGGCGTCATAATCTTTTCAACACTGTGCTCTAAGACATCAGAATTCACATATGATTTGAAACACATTTACTCTCCCTTTTTCACAGTGGCAAGACCTTAAATCAGAAGACTAAGTATAGAAGAGATATTTAAATAAAATGACTATAAGAATGATAAAAAATGGTTGTGTCATGTGACCACAAGCAATTACGCTTGAGGTAGCAGTTGATAAAAATCCCTTCAAGTAAGGATTTATTAACGAAATAATAGCTAACAATGACTAACCTTATTGAGTGGCTACTATGTGCCAGGCAATATTCTATTCACTTTACATGAATTAACTCATTGAATCCTGTCAACAACATTTTGAGTGAAAAACAGATCTCATAATAGCATTGCATGGATTCTGACAACATTATTTTAGGATGGTCTTGGTCCATTTGTGATTCCCTTCAAAAATGACAATTTAGCTTTTTGTAGTTATACATTAGTTTTCTTTTAAGAAATGTATTTGTTCTGACTTGTGGATAAACTATTAAGCAACAGCAGGCTAAAGTGATACTAATGAACTTAACGTTTCCTATTTTGGCCCTTTGAAAGTCATCTTTGTCTGTCCTATTGCAGGCCAATGATGTAAAATAACTTTTAACTTTGGTGAGTTACCAGTTTGAGATCTGTGTGTTGTGAAGCTGGTTTTTGGAGTGAGTGATGTAGCTAGTGAATGAGCCTGGGGATGGCCTAACACTCACTATTCATTCCATTTCCTTGTTTGTCGTCACAAACATATTTTCTGGGAAACCATATGCTATTCAAGAATTTGGTTGTTCACAGATGTCTTGTGTTATTCCAGGAGTTAATATTCGGCCAGTGGACACTAGTGTAGCTATACTAGTTATTGAGAGTATTAAAAGATAGATGTTTGTACTGGTTGTTAAGGTAATTTATGCTGGCTGGTAAACAGTTACTATTGCAAGACACCCAAACATCTCTCCTCTTCCCTGTGAGCAACTCCCCCCCTATAAGGGTTGCAGGTAAAATATAGGATGCCAACTTGCATTTAAACCTCAGATAAATTATGAATATTTTTTTTAGTTTAAGTATGTCCCATGAAATATTTGGCACATACTTACACAAAATGTTGTTTGTGACCTATCTGAAATTCAAATACAACTGGGCATCCCATATTTTTATTTGCAACATTTGACAACCCTGTTTCACGTGGAACCTAGACCTATTCACAATCCTGCACTAATGGATGACGCCCTGGACTCTGTGGTCCTGCAAATCCTTTCTCCAGGACCTAGGCCAGCCCAGCATCTGTTTTGACCAGTTGGTGTTCTTGCTATACAAGTCATTCAATATTTTTAATATAACTTTCTGGCATAGCTCTAATAAATGTCAAGGGTCTATCTACTTCATCATATTCTTTCTAAAATTTGATGAGAATACCATTTCTTACTAATTTCCTTATATTCTCTTTCAAACTACACTCTTTTTCTATCGCTGGGTTTATTTTTACTCAAAGTTCTTTTTTCCTAAAGACATTTCAATATTATCCAAAATTATAAGTCCAATATTACCATTTTTCTGTCAATTCTTGCACAAAGAAATGATAAAAACCCATCTATGAAATAATTGAATTGCTATACACACACAAACTTTTTGGAAGAGATTTGAGGCTCTGCCAACTTGATCAAGTTCCTTGTTTGCGTCATTCACAAACAAAAAAAAATGAATTGACAGGCATTACTTTCTTTCTTTTTTTTAATGTGAACCAAAGAAGAAAAAAATGCACAATTTTTAAAAATTAGAATTTATTGTGGTGGCAATGGTTAACAAAACTACATAGGTTTAAAGTGTACAATTCTACAATACATCATCTATATATTGCATTATGTGTTCACCACCCAGAATCAGTTCTCCTTCCATCACTATATACTTAACCCTTTTACCCTCTTTTACCACTTCCCTCTCCCCTTACCCTCTGGTAACCACCATTACTTCCTGTCAAAGTAATTCTGTGCCACTAAAAGTGATATATTACATGGATTTTGCCATCTCCGTATAATAGCTCTGTCAAACTCTAATTACAAGTGAATCTTGCTATCTACAGAAAATGCATATCTGAAAAATAGTCTGGGAATATATAAAATTTAAGGCAATCATGTCCTTAATGTTTGTTTCCCAAAGTACAGCCCACAAAGTAGTAATTATGATAGAATTATAGAATTGTGGTTATTTCCTGGGGAAAGGGTTTATTGTTGTATGTGCAGGGGAAATGGTGGGTTAAACCAGTTAATCCGGTTCCTTTTCAGTGGGAATTTTTGGAGACTTAGTCTGTGTAATTGTGAACCTCCAGAGAAAAGCTCTATGTAGGTGTCAGTATGTGAAGTATGTTTGTCTGAGTGTGTTTATGTATGGATGCACATTTCCCAGCCTTATTTTAGCCATTATTCTTGTTACAAAGCCACGCTTTCAAAAAGCAAATTTCTATTTTGCAAGTCAGGAGTTTGGTATTCACTCACTTTTCTTTTTGTATTCATTTTCTAATGGCCCCTAATCTCCCCCAGCTGACCACTAGTGGGCTCCAGCAAAGGTTATGTTCTCAAAAAAGCAAATAGAAATGTATATGGATATTATCCTCAAAATATTATCCTCCACACACTGCCTCATTATTTTCATTCTACTATTAGGATGCTTTATCTTTACCTGACGTAGAAAGGGTGATAGCTACTGTGTGAAGTTTTATGGACTTAGGTAAATGTCTTAAGGTTTTAGTGCTTGTTTCTTTAAATATAAAATGAGGAAAAAGTTGCTTGACTTATCTTCTTTACAAAAGAGGTCTGTGTGTGTGAAGGATAGGGTGAATTTGAAAGTGCTTTTTAGAAAAGCAAAGCACTATTAAAATTTGCAACATAATGATGGATCTCCAGTTGATGGTGGCTTCTTCACATTTCAGCCTCTAGTTTTCTGATTTTCCAGCACTAGTAGTGAGTCTATTCTATAAGCAAAGACATATAACTATTAAAAGGTACTACAGAGAAAGTTACAATATTTTCCTTTAAAGCAAATCACCATCTCCTGAATTGTTTGGTTTGAAAAATGTGTTTTCACATGATGGATTTCTTGAAGCGTGTGCCCTTTAACATAAAATGCACCAGGCTTTACACACTAAACTCAGGCTATTGATGGCCACTTATGAGGCAATGAAAGGAACTTCAGCTAGCTTTTCCTGAGTCTAACATATGCAGAGAGTGCCAAAACAATGTATATGCATTTTAAGAAAGAAAAACTGTATTAAAATTGTAATACTCAATATATACTGATAACAAAAGATGAATACAAGTCATGTTTGACTTCTGCAATTACTAGAGGTGCTCAAAATGGTTACCATCAGCATCCAGATACTTCTGATTACCGCCAACTACTGCTTGAACAACGCTGAGCAAAGTGTCCACTTGTATACATTTTTTTGGCACCCCAGTATTAATGATAGGTGATTCCAGTCGATAGCTATATTATGCCAATATTATTTTAATGATTATCTACAGTGCAGAAAGACAGGACGGTTGACTGAGTTGTTCATGCTAGCACATTTTCTTTTCTCTCTTGTCCCCCTGCCACCATATACAGAGAGTGCAGCATCCACACGAGTGTCCCTCCTGTGGAGGCTTTGGCTTTCTTCCGTGCTCCGTGTGCCATGGGAGCAAGATGTCAGTGTTTCGAAACTGCTTTACAGACTCTTTCAAAGCCCTGAAGTGTACAGCTTGCAACGAGAATGGTCTTCAGCGCTGTAAGAGCTGTGTTGGTTAGGGGGCGCTTCCACCCAGGGAAAGCCTCATTTTATTAACTGGAGGCAATAATTTGGTTTATACTTTTCTAAAAAATTGTCATGTTTGTGGATTAATCAATAAACTTTGTTTATTATAATTGTCTTTGTTTTGATTTTTTTGCCCTGGCCATTTCATTGATTTATTAAATAAAAATGTTTAGTTAACAACTACTATGTGCCAAGCCCTGTTGTAGACCTTGGTTTCTAATTGAAATTACTCAGTATCATTCCAGGATATCCAAAGTCTGACTCCTTAAATGTGTTTGATTTTAAAGAAAAGACAAAATATATTTAGTGGTGCCTCCAGCAATGTCACCCTATTGTCTCGATAAGTTAATTAAACTCTCTAGATATATAAGCACATTTCTATGTGTGTCTCAGTTGCATGGAAGAAGAGAGCTCTGGATAGTGGGAAAAAAATATGATCATATTCTTAGACAGTAGAGTGTTTTTAAGCTGTAAAATAGTCTTGGAGCTGATAATGTTAATGATAATTAATGTTATCAGATGAATTTCTTGGTGATAATACAAAAGCTGTCAGAAGACTTATCTGGATTTATTTATTTATTTATTTTAAAGTATCTGCTTTGTGCTATTGTCCCAGAAAGCCCTCAAAAAGGCCACTATTGTTGTTCCCTTGAGAGGGACATAGAGAACTACACAGTTTGAACATATAGTAGTCAATGATAGCAAAGTGGACAAAAATAAATTTTGTTATAATTATTGGCTGATGCCTATCTGTACACATGTCTGTACGCTGATGAATTCCTTTACCAGTGAATTTAAATTGCCTTCACAACATTTGTGATAAGCACATAAACATATTTTACATCTTGGTTTTATGTAAAGCTATAAATATTTACCGGATACTTTCTTATCAGGTAGGCACAGTGTAAGTTATAATTTCTGCTTTCATGGCACTTATCCTCTAAGAAGGAATTAGGTATTAAACAAATAACTATAAGCAGAATGAGTCTTTAAACACTGAATGGTGCAGTGTGTTATGGGAACGCATAGCAGGAGGACAATCTAAATGAGTTAGGAAATGGTAAGAAAAGGCTTTGTGGAGCAACTGATTTTTAAAATGAGACATGGGTGCCGGCTGAGTGACGCATTGGTTAGGAATTGGCTTGGGACGCCACCTCTGAGCAGCAGGGCCTCTGTTTGGATCCCACATGAGGGCCAGTGACGCTGCGCCCTCTACAGCTAAGATGGTGAACAACAGCTCTACCTGGAGCTGGGCTGCTGTGAGTTGCCGGCGACGGTATAAGCTGCAGTGAAGCTGCAGTGGGCTACCATAAGCTACCGTGAGTGGCCGGCAGCCAGCATGAGCTGCTGTGAGCCACCATGAGTAGCCGTCCAGTGGCTGGCGAGTGACTGCCTCATCCAGGAAGAGCGCAATGATAATACCAACATGGGCCAGTGAAGCGATGTCCTCCACAACTAGACTGAAGAACAAAAGGACAGCAACTTGGCTGTTCCCCTCCCCCAATTCCCCAATAAAATCTTTAAAAAAATAAAAATAAAACAATAAAAAAATAAATAAAATAAAATGAGATATGAAGGGTAACTGGAAACCAGTTAGTCAAAAAGCAAGAGGGATAGTGCTTCGGGTAAAGGAATAGCATATGTGGAGACACTGAAGTCAGAAAAGTTGTAAAATTAAGGAACCGTAAGAAATCCAATGTGAGGAGTTATCATCTGGTAATAGTGAAACAGTTTATAGTAGACTAAGCCTACTGCTAATCACACATTTATCTTGACCAAAATGGTGAAAAAGAAACAACTGTTCAATGCATTGGAACTCAACTAAAAAATAGAAAGGAACAGGAACAGATTCAATTACTAGATGAAAGGAAACAAAATGAACTCCACCTTTATCTTGCTTATGATTTGAGGGCATTTCCTAGTCGCACTGAGTATAGCTCATAAAGAAAGTACAAACTTACTGGTTTGAAAACATAAACGCTGGAATTGGGGGCTGCAGTGTGCCTGGAATTGAATGGAAAATTCTAAGAAAGAAGAGGACCAAGGAGAGGGGAGTCTTCATATCTTCTCATTAATTCCACTCAAACCCTTGGCTGATTCCTAACCTACATAAGCAGAGTAACAACCTGGGACCAATTCCAATGTGCAGGGGTTTTCTCTCCAACACCAAACAATTCTCCAACACCAGCTGGGTATCTTATAATTCAACTGATAGTTTCTAATGAAGGTAAACATACACTAATGGTGTGCTCAACAATTTTACTCCTAGTTATTTACTCAAGAGAAATAAAAACATATTTCCACATTATAGAAGGGCTTCATGGAAGCTATATTCTTAATAGCCAAAAAGCAAACAGATCTCAAATGCCCACTGACAGGAGACTCAATAATATAAATTGTGGTATATTAATGCAGGAGCACACAACCTAGGAATAAAAAGGAAAAAGCTATTGATTCTAACAATAACATTTTGTGAACAAACTAAGCCGGACACAAAGGCTATGTACTATATGATTTCATTTATATGAAGCTATAGAGTAGACCAAAATGAATCTATCGAAAAGTTGCCTCACAGCGGGGAGGGGCCAGGAGGAGGAAATTAAATATGAGGAGAACTAAGACAGTGATCCAAGTTACAGCTAGTTGGGGGAAGATTTCCCCTCTGTCAAGAAAGGGGGGAAGAGTTACGTGCATCAGGGAAGAGTTTCTCATCACAGTTCCAACATGATTCTGAGATTCTATTAGTTAGTAGGGTCTATCCAGAAATTTCCTGATTACTCAGGCTCTGGCTGTGTCTCTGCAAATCCAGCCATAGTACCAGGGTCCTTGTCTGGGGTAGAATTTCGATGGAGAATTAGGACAGTACAAGGGATTCTAATTTTCGTACCCTATCTTGGACTATGGGTTCAGAGGATAAAAGCTCTCTGACTTACAATTGTGTTCACTAGGAATTTGATTTTGTTTCTATCCTGTATTCTTCTTTTTTAAATGCATTGGCATGGAATTAAAGTGTTATGTTTTCTATTGGTTATTTGTGAGTCTCTAAAGAAGAACTTTGTGGAAGTAAAAGGAAATTAAAAAACAACAACAAAGCTCAGATATATTTTAGAATTGTAGAACTTAATGAGAGTAATAGGCCCAGAAAATAAGCTTATAATAGGCTTAAGCATAAATTTATGTTAACTTTCTGAGACAACTTGGTTTAGACACTGTTTCAGTTTTATAATATGTAAGTGGGAGAAATTTATACCTGCTATATATTTATCCTACACTGTAGTTGTGTGGGATTAATGAGAATCTATAGGAAAGTACTTTAAAAACACAAATATACAGAGGCATAGAATAATTTCACGATTACTAGAAAATTATGTATCAGCAATATATCTTTTTACTGACCACATAAGGAAATGAACTAACATTTATTGGACTCCTTTTATATGCTTGATTTTTTAGAAAGTGTCTCATTTATTCTTTGCAATACTGTGAAGAAACTGTGATGCAGGATGTTAATAAATTTCCCTCAAGTGTTGAAATTTATGTTAGTGTGTTGTATCTATCTTACTGGTCCATGTGAGCAGCCTTTATTTCTGGTATGAAGTAGAAAATCAGTCAAGCACACAACAAACCTGCTCAGAGATAAACACCTACACAAGCCATCGAGTTGGAATGGAAAACGAGGCTTTTCCTGTGCTCCTGTGTTCTTACAGCTTCAGACATTCCTCTCTGCAACTCTTCATTTATTTCAAAAGCCAGGCAATGTTGATTGCTGGCAAAGAATATATAGCAATGTAACCAGGGCTAGGGTTGGTCCATGAATAAATTTCTAAAACAAAGATTAAAGGGGGGTGGGGATATTAAAAAATGACATGTAATAAATATAAATGCATATTTATTTTAATCTTGTCATCTCAGGGTCTTTTTAAACAGATAAATTACTACTACATGGATTAGAGTTTTGTCTGGTCTTTCATGTATGAATCTCACACCTCGTAAAGAAGCCAGTCTGGGATTTTTTGAAGTAGAGTGAAAATTTAAAGACTCTTTTGGCAAGCAATCTGACTGTCATATCCTTTTTAATTCGGGGGGTTATTTCTCCTGATCTTTTGTAGTTTCCTCGCCCACAATAACTTGCCAGTAATTTTTCTTTCTTAGTCCTTAATTTTAGGAAGTTATTTCTAAGGCATTCAATTTAGTTTTCATGGAATAAATATCTTCCTCTTTGCACTCATATTTTATTAGTCTATGTAATATTTAGTTATAACAAATTATTTCACTTAATTAAAATTAATATGTTATTTGGTTATACAATTATACATATATTAATGACTCTAAACACAATTGTTAAGATAACAGATTTAGGAAGAAAAAAAACTGACTCTTGGGAGATATATACTTGTCGGCTGGCAACAGAAGTGTGCAGGCAGATAAGAGTGTTTCTCCTGGTTGCAAGCATTCAGCAGGCTGAAGGCATCTGAAGGAATATACGAGTATTACAGAGGGAGGGAATGGGGAGTGTCGGCCAACCCTGAAACTAAGCAGAAGTTGGCAAAGAGCTTTAGCTAACTGATGTGACCATATCGGTAACCAGGGGCATTGTTGATAACATGCTCAAGGTTATTCATCATCACCTTCCTCCCTGCCCTTCAGGTTTATCGGCACCTGGTATTACTCAGCTACCAGCACCAGCATTTCTAAGGCAGGCTCTGTTTGCCCTATGGTGCTTGACTGAAGACTTAACTCTCTTTGGGAGATATGTTGCTCTCTGTAAAGGTGAGATGCTTCCACGCCTGCTTCACTTAGAAAGAGACAGTCTCGTTCTGTGCCTGGCTTGTTTCATTTAGCATGATGTCCCTTCCATGATCTCACTTATACGTGGAATCTAAAAATTTGAGCACAGAGGCAGAGAGGAGAACAGTGGTTACCAGAGGCGGGGAGATGCAGAAAACAGGAAGATGTTAGTCAAAGGATACAAAGTTGCAGTCATGTAGGATAAATTAAGGTTTAGAGATCAAACGTACAGCTTGATGACCATAGTTAATAATAACACGGTATTGAACACCGGAAATTTGCTTAGAGACTAGATTTCAGATATTCTCACCGCATACACACA